ACAGGATAAACAGGGAGAGAGAGAGAAAGAGAGAGGACAGAAAACCAGAGAGAGATAGAGAGATGATGGAAGGAAGGAAGGAAGGAAGGAAAGACAGGCGGACAAGAGAGAGAGAGAGAGGAGCAAGATAGACAAGAGAAAGAAACGAACAGGATAAACAGGGAGAGAGAAAGAGAGAGGACAGAGAACCAGAGAGAGAGAGAGAGAGGTGACGGAAGGAAGGAAGGAAGGAAGGAAGGAAGGAAGGACAGGCAGACAAGAGAGAGAAGCAAGATAGACAAGAGAAAGAAAGAGAGGACAGAAAACCAGAGAGAGAGAGAGAGAGAGAGAGAGAGAGAGAGAGATATGAAGGAAAGAAGGAAGGAAGGAGGAAAAGAGGGGGAGGTGGCTGCAAATTAGGCTCATATCACGTTGATAAACTCTCCGCTGCCCCCCTCCCCAAAATGCCAGAGACCGCTGCCTGCACAAAAGGAGAGAGGGAGGGAGAGAGGGGCCAACCTTTTGTGCAAAACCCCTGGGGAGTTTTGCACATTTATCACGGCCAGGGGGGCGAGAGGGGGGGGAACAAAGCCGGCCTGAGAACGGCTGCACACCCGGTTACCAAGGCGATGGCCAGTAGGCCTGGGAGCTTGCAGTTCAGCATCCAAAGAAGCCAGATGAAATTTGGGGAGGGGGGGGGAAGAGATGGGGAAGGGGTGCCAAAAGAGGGGGACGCTGGCCCCATCGGTCCCCGCCCTCCGGAGTTTTGTTTGGTGGGTTTCTGGGGAAACAAAGGCAGCCGGGAGAACTGGGGGCAAACATTTGTGAGAAGGGCTGGGGTTTTTTTTTGAATAGAAGAGGGTGGGAAGGAGGCCCTGGGCTTATTCAGGCTGGCCTTTGGGTGAGGGGAAACACAGAGGGACACCCCTGTCAGCCCTCAGCCCTGGGCAGCCCCCCACCCCAGCTGGGGAGGGACCCTTTGCAAGGTGCCCATTGGGGGCAGCCGAAACAAAACCTTTGCACAGCCCAAGGGGTTGAAGGCTCCACTCTTTCCCAGCAGCTCCAGGAGAGGCAGGGAAGCAGCCCCCATTCAGTGGGGAGGAGCTGGGTGCACCCGCTAGAGGAGGCAGCCACCAAGAGCCCCCCCCCGCCCCCTCCCAAATGTGGGGGTCCAGCTTCCTGACCCTGAATCTCTCAGTCAAGTTGTGGATGGCTCACAAGGGGATTAAAGTGGGGAAGGGGGTGTGTGTGTTACTGGGGCTCTCAAATTCTGCTCTCTCAGATTCCCCAGTCTTCGGAAGGCACGTGCAAGCAATATATTTATTTATGAAATTCATTTATCGCCCAATCACACTCCAAAAAGACTCTGGGCAGCATAAAATTTGAGAAAGACTAGAGACCAGATAGATAAGAGTAGAGAGAGCAGACTAGACAGACAGAGAGAGGGAGGGAGACAGACAGAAGACAGACAACCAGAGAGAGAGAGAGGGAGGGAGGGAGGGAGGGAGGG